AACAGTGTCTTCCAACTAATCTCTGAAATATCCCAAACAGTGATAACCCCAAATCCTTCACTCGTGCTTTTACACATTGGGATTGAAAAATTCCCCTACAACTCTCGTACCACCATTGTCCACATACTTTTCCCAGCAAAAATCAATATAACCAGATTATGGAACACCGCCACTGCTCCTTCCCTCAAATCACTAATTACAGATCTTAATTTCCAATGCGAAATATATAAAAAAAGATTGGCCTTCAACAACTCCACTCAACACAAATTTAATTCCCAATGGACTAGCTGGTTACAACATCCTAATTGCTCAGTACAATCCTGATATCTTACAAACCATTTTAGACTGGTACTCCTTTTCCACCCCATTACACTTACCCCCCCCCCCCCCCCCCTCCTTATCCCCCCTTGTTTAATACCCCTTCACCGTTTCCTACACCTCACCAAGGTTCAGTATATAACCTAGTCTACCGCTGATACTAATGCCTTAATACCAAGTTTTAACCCCAGCCAAATGGTGGGGTAAATTCTTACCAATACTATATTGTATGACTATACTCTCTACTGAACTAAATGTCATTATTACTTTGTTCTGTTCTTGAAAATCTTCAATAAAAAAAATTGGAAAAATATAAAAACCAATAAGAGAATACTAATCAGGCAATTATATATAAATAATAAATGCGTGTAATCAAAAGTGCCTAAGACCGCATGGGAATATAATCCTCTACATAAAAACTCACAGGCACCTCTGATGCGTTTCAAAACAAATGTCATTAAAATCTTCCAGATAGTTTTCAGGATAATCTCCAGGTGATTAATTAAAATCCCAGTGTATGGATCCTCAGGTGGGTAGCTAATAAGTATATGAAATGTGCACTCACCAGATGCGCATAAGTATAGCGCGTTGTATCGTATGCTGTAGGAAACAGTCAGGGATTCCTTCTTAGGGTGGTCCGGAATGCCTGGTAGTGGATGGCCTTCCTTAGGATACTGGATATTGGCAAGCCAGAGTAAATGAATCAACCTCATCCAGGCTCTGGGATGCTCACTGGGGATTACTTTGAAGTTAAGATGCTTGGTGCAGAGCAAAGAAAAAGAATATTCCCATAGTGTAGTATTTAAAATAATGTTTAATGGTAATACATGTAAAAAGTATAAATCCAAACACGTACACTTGTTGTGCAAGAGATGAAGCAATAAAATGACAATTGCCATTTTATTGCTTCATCTCTTGCACAACCAATAGTGGTAAATTTGTAATGCAGCCTTGCAATGACCTTTGGCCAAGTACCTGAAACAAAGAGAAATAATCAATGTTAAATCGTCTTTGTTTTACAGTGTCTGATTTCCAGAGACGATGGTGGAGCATGAAAGATGGTTACAGCCACTACTTGCAAAAACTAAAAGAGGCCAAGAGTGGGTCAGAAGCTACAAGAACTATTCCTTATACTCACGCCTGGGAGCTTGAATTTTTTTAGATCCATCTTGGAATTATATCCATCATATTTTCTGGTTCTCTATATTGACAAGCTATAATGCTACTTATACACATTCCATATTTTCTATTGCAGAACACACTCCACTTTGGAGGACAACCCATACCACTTAGCGGGGGAGGAGATGGAGGATGATAATGCATCGGAGAATCTGTTATCAGAGAATCCATTGTTTGAAAGGGGGCAAGTAGCAGGAGCATGACCCTTGTTGTGCAGGAGCATGTGGAACACAGCCGTAGATATGTAACTTAAAGAAGATCCACGGGGGCAGGGTAGGGGTGGCAAACCCATCAGTAAATTACTAATGGTTGTCAATGAGATGTCCTACAAAATGTCAGAGCACATGGATGAGGACACTGTGTTTGCAACTGTTGTCCTGGGTATTTGTTGCAAAGTAAAAAAGAAGTTTGCTTTACAAATGGCTCTGATGTCAACGGCTCAAACTTTTGTAGATGAAGAGCCACATACTTCTTCACAAATTACGCACATGACTGCCCCTCAACACCAATATAACCCTAATTTTCATTACTCTCCACATCCAAGTAACCCATACTTACCACCCCCAACTCGGCCTTATTGTGACAAGTATGGCAACATGCCTCTCTCACGAGATAGACTTCTCTTTCCTTACCCCATACCTACCCCAATTCCATCCACACTTGTTCCCCCAACTGCTGAACCACAACTCAGCCTGCTGCTTCTCCTTATATTCTCCATTACCTGAATACTTTTCTTCACCACCATACACTTCCAGCTCCTCTGCCATGGGGCCCAAGACATACCAGCAGCTGTAATGTTTTCCTCATCTATTGTTACTCAGCCATCTTTTGTAAGGTTTTATTTTAGTAACATTGTTATTTGTTGTAAATCAGATGTAAATTCTGAAAAATAAAAATGTTAGATTTTACTGGATGAGAATTGCGTTTTATTTGGGAAGTAACACCATATTTGTTGTCAGTGGGAGGAATGGAGCCCCAGCATTGTTGTCAATTATAAAAATTTGGCCCCATCATTGGTGTCATGTTAGCGATTCATAATTCTAATCATTTGATCAAAAATGGAAATGAACACACACCACAAAAATAAATGTTTTAACTCTTTGTTATATATATTTGACTTTTTCAACAATGAGCCAAAAAGAAAATCAATAGGACTACAAAATAAAATAAAAAACAAGAATGGACATTCATAGAATGGTGCAATATCAAACACCGAAAATTCATTAATAATTATCAAAAAAATAAAGGTGGTGGGTAATATGAAGGTGGATGTGTGGAGAGGGGAATGGGAAAATGATGAGCAATGTAGAGAAACAGCCATCGCCTGTAGGACTGAACCTTATACACCAGTAGTATCACAACAAACCAAAAACTGTTGGTAACAAGATCACAAGCTGTATGTGACATATTGGGCAATTTCATTAAGCTGCCATGACAGCTCACCAGCAGGAGACATTAAAAAAAATGTTGAAAATTTGTCTCGAACATGGGCACCGCTGCAGGAGCCCCTACTAGCACACGAATGAGAAACCTCAAGAATAACCATTTGGGACTCCTAAAAGTAGCCATCACATTGGCATACAAAATTATGTAGGACACACTCTGCTTTCACAGCACATACAGCATTCTCTAGATTCATATTGATTGGAGTTTGAAGCAGGCTCCATTTGTTTGCCAGAATTCTGAAGGGGCATTCCACCATGCTATGTTCCCTGGTAAGGCGGTAGTTGAACACCCTCTTCTCTACTATAAGGTTGCCCTTGGAGTACGGTCTTAGTAGGTGTTCACCCAATACAAAGTCTTCATCTGCTATGAAAACATAGGGTAAGGGAGGATCATCAGTCCCTGGCAGGGCACAGCTATGAGGAAGGTCAAGTTCATTTTCAGTGACTGAAAATATTTGAATATGAGCTGCTCCCATATGATCCGATGTCTATGTAGGTGAACCAATAGTTAGCATCAGCGATTGCGAACAACACAAATGAAAAATATTTTTTATTAAAAAAAATCTGCTTCCACTGGGACTGGTTTGATGACCCGTATATATGCTTTCCATCGATAGCTCCCACCCAACTAGGGAAGTTACATCGCTCCCAGAACACATTGGCTGTGTTGACCCAGTCTTTTAGGTTTTTTAATGACGATAAGCTTTAGCACATTCCAAAGGACTCTGCATGTGTCATGGACAATGTAACCTACAGTCGATCTCCCAATCATGAATTCATAATGCATACTTGCAAATGAATGATCTGTGGCCAAATACCTGAAACAAAAAAAATAAATCTAATATTGGCTTTAGGTTTTGCAATGGGAGATTTTGCAGAGGAAGAAGAGAAGAGGGTTAACATATACCTATATCTCAAAGGAGTAATAGGTTACTATGTGAGTGTCCAAATAAATGCATGAAATATATAAACAGGTGTAGTTCTTTTGTAAACTTACCTCCGTGTGAAGTCTTTCGATGGGAGGAACACTCATTCTGTAGTTTGTGGTCATTCGCTGTAGCTGGTTAGAGGCCATACCCAGCAATTCATCAAAACTGTAAAGACAGATATGCGGCCATTATGTCACCAGGGATTAGTAAATCAATCGCATAACGAGCAACAATGACTACTTCAAATTAAAGTCAAAATACACAGGGGATCAAGAGGAACTTAATGAACGTTAAAAATATGAACATTGCTGTGTGTTTGTGGAACAGATGCAACTAACATGCCTTGTGGGTTGGATGGATACGTGTACACACAGTACATTTACCAGAAAAAAAAATGCATCTACATGTTAAGAATGAGCACACAAACTCACCTTGTTCCTGACATGCGTGTGTAATTGAAGAATTTTTCAGGATATGCACGAATGTCTTCGTAAATGACCCAGAACGGTCCTCTTGTTTGACCATTGGCAATGACTGGATGGATCCAGTACCTACGCCTTTAACTCATTATTCTCTTACATTCCTCCTCTTCTTCATCTAATAGTACAGCAACAGCAGCCGTAACCACTGCTGCTGCAACTTACTGCATAACAAACATGGCTAGTTAGCACAGGATGGTTATAAGGAAGGAAATTGGGCTGAGAAGGAACAGAAATTCCAACACACTCTGCCCTATTTTTGATTGGACAGGGCCAAGTACAAGTACATTAAATCGCAGCAGATCAGTGCAAATCTTAAAGTCTTTTTAAATTGTGCACAAATTGCATGATTTTGAATTGCACACAGTGTGACCAAAGCATTAAGATGATGCATAGTTGTGTTCATTGTATTAATTTTTTATATAGATGACTGTCAAGGGTCTATTTATGTTTTCATGCAATATTCACATGATGTTTACTAAAGGCTCACACTTTTTTTTTTTTTTTTTTTTTTTTTTTTTAATCTTGTTTAAAAATTTTGGTGAATCTTGTGTGAAGAAATATAAATAGACCCCTAAGTCTTCACTTTGAGATTAAGCACAGTGCTCCTAAATTAATTATTAATTTTTATGTATTTTTTTTTTGTTTAGGATTCCTCCTAATAAGCTTGTCGCTGGTAAAAAAGTCCATCGGAAATCTGCCTTGAAGACAAAAAAAGATGGGTCAGCATTTACGGGCAGCCTTGTAAAGCAGTTATTTAGTCTTCATGCCAGAATGCAGCTGTCTAAGGACACTTCCACTGATGTTGAAAAATGGTAAGCATTAGTTTTTTTTTTTTTTTTTTTTTAATCATATCAAGCTCAGAAATAACATGACTTTTTGTTTTCCATGTTGAATGATGTCAGAGCTGACACAAGTTTAAAGAATAAGTTCACTTTTTAAGAAAAAACAATAAATGCACATTTATTATTTTTTCCCCTGCAGGGGATCATGGGTGCATTGTCAGGCTCCTGAAGACCCATCCTCTAGCTTTTCACCTATAGCTTTGTACAGGCTTTCTGTTAGAAAGCTGGAGGACTTGTGAATGGACTATGAGTGCGCTGATCAGTGTGCTCTTAGTTCATTAAGAACAACAAGCTATTTGCCATTGAAACAAACAGGACTTGTAGTTCATTCACAGATCACTGTAAATGAATGACATGGCTATGTAAGCAGAGCAAGCCCCCCACAGTTATACCGTTTTTAAATGTGACATCAGCCATTGAGTAGAACTCGCACGCTAAATATGGGTGTAAAATGTTCCAAAAATGTTGCTTATAATTTCTTTCCTGGTTTTTTCCTTCCTACTAATCAACATGAAAATGAAAAGTAAAACCTTTCTGTTTTATATTACATCCCTTATTTTAGACACCGTGATTATATCTCTAGGTCTCTGTTTTTCCCCTAGCAATGCTGGCAAATCATGTCTGGTGAGAGCAGTGATAAGGATGCTGTACATAGCTTCTTGACCACATCAAAGGACTATGCCTCAGTATTCCTTTCAAAAGACCTCAGCTCTGATGCAAGCAGTGAAGATGTTATGCAAATAATGAATGGACATCCCTTTGGGGGAGTGGGCATTCCTTGCATTTTGTTACATTTATATGCAAACCACTCTTGGTAACACCCACATATGCTAAGCCTCCAGGATTGAAAGAGCTAAAATCATCAACATCATTCAGGGTTGATATAGCTCAAGAATGAACAAATAAAATGGGTAAAGAAGGTAGTGTAGAATGTAGAAGATTCCAGAGAACTGGCTTGTGCTTTGAAAATGTAATTTGAGTCTATTGAATCTACAGTATATACGTGGCAGTTTTACAGCAGAGAGGAAAGTGCTAGATTGTTTACATTTCAAGGATTTATACCATTTTGATCTTTTTTTGCAAAGAAGCAAATTAACATATGACATATCCCTCATTAATACAAGCCATATCCATGTATGTGACTCTCTAGACATTCAAAACTCTTTGAATTTCAAGAAAAAAAGTGTCATTATTCTGCCATAACAAGCTGACTTGAAGCACGATACCCCAGAGTCTCCCAGAATTTGGTTAGAAAAAACTAATGTTGACCTTATGTTGTGAGTGCATGGACTATAAACAACCACTACTATTGCTGTGAATTATTTATTGTTCAAACTCAGAATTAATTTATGAAACAAATATGAAAACGAAACAAACATAACAGGCTTCAAACCAATGGTGGTGTGTTTAATATCAATTCAGTATTAAATTTACACAAATACATTTAAAAAATGTTCGTTCATATTACAAACACATTTCCCATACAAAGGAAACTTCCAATAAAAACAGAATAGCCATTTTATTTAACCCTGTTTCAGTTAATAGATCGGCTTAATCTGAATGTGCATAAATGTCCCCAGCTATGTACTCCTCTTAAGTACACCTATAAGCCAATCCTCTTACTTTCACCTGCACAAGTCCTAAAGAAAAAAAAATATTCTCAAAAGAAAAACAATTGTTTAATATAAACATGAAATAGTAGATATGAAATCAGTTATACATAATATGTATAGCCAAAGCTAAATTGCAACCAATGTGTTTAAACCTGTGAAGGGTGAGGAAAGAAGGAGCTACTGTTATATCAAATCAACATACAGATAATTATTTTATTCTGAGAATAAATAATTTCTAAATTAGAACATTAAACACATTATTATTCCTTTCTGTGTTCTTCTGCACATTATGCTAAACCATGAAATAACAAAAGAAGGGTTATGTATTCATTAAGGTAAAAGGCTGACACCACCTTAGGGAGAAAGGAGGGTTTTAGGCATAAGACTGCTTTGTCTTGGTAAAGACAGAAAGACCAACTAAGACGTGTCTGACAGACCTGATCACCTCCAAAAAGGCTACTTTGCAGGAGAGATCATCCAAAATGAGGTTCCTGATGGGCTCAAAGGGTGATTTCTGCAGGGTGGAGAGAACGATACTAAAGTAACAAGGAAGCACAGGGTGCTGTGAGGGTGGTTTGGTCTGAGAAACACGTTCACTTTATTCAATCTTTACAAGTCTGTCTTACTTGTTTCCATCATAACTACCTTTCCAATTTGTTAATTGAATGACAAATGGTAAATAATCTTGACTGTAGGGTTTTAGTGCTACCTCCAGGACTAGAACACTAGGCATTAAAACAAAGTGCTGCCTAGTGATAGTCCCTGCTGGTGGTCAAGACCCCAATTTGCTATAGGAAGCTCAGTCTTTTGCCTAGTATCTAGAAATAAGGTTCTAGCTCTTTGCTTCATTCTTTCTTTCCTTTTTGTTTTTTCATTCAGACTTTTCAGTCAATAGCTGAGCTCCCAGGTTACCCCAACCCATTGTATATGCCGACTCTATGGTATACTCGCAACACAAGCAGACCTAAACCTAAAGTGCCACTATACCTAAATGGGAGAGTTGGGGGGTGAACCTGCAAGAGAGGCAATCTGATCCTAAGATGGCTGAAACCAGTTTTACCGTGTTGGCAAGAGGCTATGTAATGCCAATAAGAACCCATAGACTTAAACCAGAAAAGTTATCTTTGTGTTGGGGGTAATGTAATTCTCAAGGACTATTTGGACACAGCTTTTAGGCAGGTGTGAAGAAATGCTGCAAAGTAAGAATGCTTTCAAAAATGTGTTTTTAATTCTTTGTTTTTATCAATTTTCAAAATGCAAAGTGCTGACCATTAGACTGAGGTTGAAAAGCAGAGGACAGATTGTTACCCCCAAAGCTGAGCAAAACCTTGTCCAAAATTTTAAAGTGAGCTGTACTCCCCTGTCAGACACCTCATCATCAGGAATTCCATGTATTTTAAAAACCTCTCAAACCATTACCTCTGCAGTTTGTTCAGCAGAAGCTACCACCTTAACTGGTATAAAATGAGCCATGTTGGTGAGACGGTTGACAACTACCAGAATAGTGGTCAACCCTTTTGAGGGGGGGGGGGGGGGGAGATCAACCAGGAAGTCCATAGAAATTGACCCCCATGGTCTTGATGGAACAGACAGTGGTTGGAGTATTTGATTTATTTGATTTAATTTTCATATTGTCTTTGGGAACTTATGTGGTTTATTACAAAAAGGTATATTTATTATTTTGTACTTTCTAGGGAGAAAGTGTGACTTTTTGGTGGGAGTTAAGTTTAAGGAGGTTATTTATTTGAGTGGTTCGAGTAGCCCCAGAGGAGAAGATTGGGGTGTCTTATTGCGAGCACAGGTCAGACACGTGGCCACATAACTCTTGATATCTTCCTTGTGTCCAGACCATCAAAAAGATTGTGATGAAAAGTTCTTCTGTCTTGGAAGCCCCAAAATGACCAGCAAGTTTAGAGTTGTGAACCAACCTCAAGGCTTCTACCAAACTAATTTGGGTACATAGAGGTGGTGCTCTTGAGTTCAAAACCTGTTTATGTACTCAAGGTTAATGTCCTTAGGAGGATGATTGAGAAGTGGGTCATTCTCATACCCCTCCTTGAGAAGATTCAAAAATGTCTTAGAACTTGTAGCTCCTAGAAAGTTCTTTTGAGGCAGGATTGTACATTTAGAGTTGTTTTCCTGGAAACGCCCAGACAACATCCGCAATAAGGCATCAGCTTTACCATTCCTTGACCCGGCTCGGTACGAAATAACAAAATTGAACCTGGACAAGAATACGGTCCAACATGCTTGTCTAGATGACAACCTTTTAGAAGAACGATTAACCACTTGCCTACTGGGCGCTTTTAACCCTCTTCCTGCTCAGACCAATTTTCAGCGCGCTCATACTTTGAATGACAATTGCACGGTCATGCAACACTGTACCCGAACTAATTTTTTTTTTTTTTCATAATTTTTTTGTAGACAAATAGAGCTTTCTTTTAGTGGTATTTGACCACCACTGGGGTTTTTATTTATTGCTAAACAAACTAAAGACCAAAAATTTTGAAGAAAAAAAAAAAAGCTTTTCTTAGTTTCTGTTATAAAGTTTTGTAAATAAGTAATTTTTCTCCTTCACTGATGGGCACTGTTAGGTAGCACTGATGGGCACTGTAAGGCAGCACTGATGGGACTGTACTGTTAGGCGGCACTGATGGGGCTGCACTGTTAGGCAGCACTGGGCAGCACTGATGGGCACAGTTAGGCGGCATTGGTCGATGGAACTGATGGGCACTGTTAGGCGGCACTGATGGGCACTGTGAAGCCACACTGATGGGTGGAACTGATGGGCACTGATAGGTGGAACGTGTGTACACTTATGAGCATTGTTAGCGTGCACTGATGGGCACTGTTGGGTATTTCTCCATGAAGAATAAAGCTGCCCAGCAGGAGAGGTTGAATATCTGATAAAACCCTTCTCTAAATTGTCATCAAGCTAATCCCTGAGCACCTTCAGTTCTGGTTCTGATGGAGGTCAAAGGGTATTTCTGCTCCTGGAAGCAATTCAATGGGACAATCATATGGGCGATGAGGAGGCAGCTTTTTATCACAAATGTCCCAGAATTCAAGATATTGTGGAGGCAGCTTGTCGTATGATTACGTAGTTTACCATAACTGCCAATAAATCCTTGCTTGCAGGAGGGCTTATTTTGATAAGTTTCTTCGCAGTGGTGAGATGTAACATTTATAGACCGTGCCTTCCAGTTGATGGAGGGATTATGGATAGAGAACCAAGGAATGCCCAGGGTGATAGGGAATTTGGGTGATATGATCAGCTGAAAGCTGATAATCTCCCGATGGC